AAAAAAAAAAAAAAAAACGATAGAACTGCGATGAACGCCATTCTTGGGCGATCCTCGTGACAGTTCTTTTTGATCCCGTTCAGACTTGCGTGACACACATCCCGTCTTACAACATGGCCGGGCAGACTGGAGGCTGGCGGAGGCGAGCTTGCTTGCGCTCTGCTTTCGCTTGGCTCTCCAAGCTCAGCGCTTGCCTGCTGAAGGTGATCACAGCTACAGCCAACAAGTGCGGGCGCTTGGAGGAGCAAGGGTGCAATCAAGACCTGTTGTTGGATGTAGGAAGGTTGTTTCAAGACCACAGCCATCGCTACCGTAGTGCTTCTTTCCAATCATCTACCCACACCGCGGCTGCTCTGATAAGGCCTTGACATGATGCTTGTCAAGCATCTTCCATGCTGTGTTGACAGAAGTATGTTCAGGGCACCGAATAGCTACGTTGTTCCTGGGCAGACGCCTCACAGCCCTCCGACAACCCTTCGACAACCGGAGACCTTGCACACCAGACCTTGGCCAGTCTAGGCTGGTAAACACGGGTGTTGAAGCTACGAAGCGGCCATTAGCACAACTTAGTCATACCTGTCTCCTGCATGACATTCCCAACCAGCCTCTGCAGTCTCAGGTGTGCCGGCCTTCTGCTTTTTTGGAGAAATGTCGCTGCTTGCCGCATGTCCATTTGCTGCTGCTATTGCCTGCAGATGGACGAGTTACTGACAAGATAGTTAACCTCCTGCCTCTATGACATTTGACTGGTAGGCACGCACGTCATGAACAAACCCTGGCAGCCTGCCTGCCCTGACTTAATCGCTCTCATCCTGTCCAAGTCAGGTGGATGGCACGGTCACATCAACAAGCTCAGCCGAATGCCAAGATGTACGATTGCCAGCCCTCGGATGGCTTGGAATCACCCCTCTGGAGAGTCAGACGCAAATTGTTACTGCTGCATCCTGCAACTTCAAGTTGACAATCCAGAATCGAGTAAATACACGTCGTAATCGCCTTCGGTACCAGTCATCTCGGAAGTTCATGACCTGCATTCAGGTATAGACAATGATAGCTGACCACAAGAATTCAATCAGCATTTCAGCCTCGTCCTTCTCCTTGCCGTCTGCTAGCATGACGTAGCAGGCCCGTGCAACCACCTCTGCCGCGTGTTTGGATCCACAGCCTTAGAAAACCCGTGCTGACGGTCCAAGCAACTCTCGAGCTACAGTATTTGTTGCCCTCTGCTGGGTCAAGCCAGATACAAGTCACCACCCACATGCAGATGGGCTTACTTTCGGAACCCAGCTCTGTGGTTTGGCCCACGACACAACAAGCCAACTCAGCTTTTGCCCAGCAAAGTGATGGCTGAATGCAAAAGCATGGGCGGAACTTGCTGCTAACAGCAGCAAGGGACCAGCTGGCAATTTTTGTTGGGCCTCACCAGTTCCAGCAGTGCCATTTGAGTAGTGCCCGAAACCCTACTCCTATTTCAGTTCGGAAACAAAATGCTTACTGTAGCTTACGTTTTCTAAGCTTTTGCTTACGACATGACTTTGTCGTTGTTCCTGCTTATGCCGCTCACGCCGGCTTGCTGCAGCTGCTGCAACTGCATTGACTGGTCTGCTTGGGAAAAATAACATCAACAGCGACACCAACAAAAACAACAGCTTGCGACGCTTACGGCAACAACATTGCCAAAGAATTGCTTACGATAGCTTACGAAACACAACACTTTGCTTACGCCAAACCTTGTTTCTGAAAGCCCTTGTTTTTTTCTGAAGAAGGAGGGTTTTGATCTCAGCTCATTTGGATCGATTAAAGCTTTCCATCACACGCAAAGGACACACTTCGGAAGATTGTCAACCTTTGTTGGATACTCGTTGTGCCTTACATGTACGTCTCTGCTTTGAATACTCCTGGCATGCAAGGGAGAGGGAGCAGGCGGGATTCTCCCTGGCCAAGAGTACTGCAAGTTGCAGCAGAAGGCTCTTCCCTGGCTGCAAACCTACCTTGAACCAACACATGTTGATCTTGTCTGAAGCGGGTCTCAATCCAGGGCCCTACTCCAGTTTTCACAGTGAACCTTTCAGAGGGCAATCTTGTACACGTGTACACTAATAAAGCGTGACGCCGTTGCTTATCTTAGATGAGTGCAGCGCCGAACTGAGTGGTCTGGATGCGGGCGCCACGGAACTGAAAGAGAGCCTGGGCAAATCCAATGCGCGTGAACACACACCTTACTCTGCAGATGTTGCAGCGCACCCGATTGTGCGACGGCTCCCATTTCACAACTCGCCATGCGTCGTGACCAGGGGGTGCGTCCTCAAGGCACTGACATTTAAAGATTTAGGTGATTCGTGCACGACAAAAACCAGGCTGCTTTGCGGGTCCTTTGGGAGCTCTTTCAATGCTTCCAGCGGCAGCTCGTCCATTTGCATCTGTTGGCCAAGCCATTTCCTGGCATTTTGCACATGAGCGTGTGCACAGTGCAGGAAGGGACACGGGAAATTCACGGCTCGGCCTGTCGCGGCCGTTCTTTGACCCTTTGCTTGCCGCGCTGGCCTTAGCCTCTTGGTCAGGCCGTTTCTTCTGCTTTTTGCCTTTTTTGGCTCCAGCTGCAGGAGCCTCGGCCTCCATTACATCTACATGACTGCAAAGATCAATCAAGCGAAGCTACTGTGCCTAGCCTTCGACGGCATGGAGGAGGGGTCGGCCTCCTGCACTTGTAGTGCTGCGACCTTGGCAAGATGCCCGCCAACAACCGCTGACTAGCTCACCTTGCTGGTAAGGTCAATACTTCCGCATACTTGTCACCGTCATACACCTCGAAGAGCGCAAAAAGCAATTCTAGCTAGATGTGCTAGCAAAAAAAAGACGAAAAGGTTACACCCTGCTGCTCTTTGAGTCCTTGCCTTCCAAGGCTTCTTCAGCAGCCAGGGCAGCTGACCCTTGTCCTGAAGCCGAAGTCAAGTTTGACCGTTTGCGTCTTGACATGAGCCAACCACGATCATCAGCCTTGACGTGCGCGTAGTCACCTGGCATATGTGCAGCATGGATCGCGCGTCTTAATCCAGACATGGCATTTCTGCTGTGCCATGAATATCTAGAGTCTAGGCCAAAAAGATCGAGGCGTTCTGGAGCTATTGTTTTAAAAGCTCAGCCCACGCTGTACATCTTGCTTCCGGCCCAGCATGACTCGTGCTGAACACACAAAGGTTTCAGCAGTTTCAACTGTTACCGCGGGTCTTCATCGCTCCACTACTGGTTTCCCGCTGTGGGCATGTCTAAGCTTGCAGTTTGCAGATTGATTGCAAGTGTCGTCAAAACCTCACCAAGCAGCAACCTACTTCCCTGCCTTTGAGAAATCGATAGCTTTGGGGGGGTTTGTCGAAGATCATATTCGTAGCTTCGTAGCTTGGGCTTGCTTCAGCACATGGCCTCTGATGGCTAGGGCTGATGAAAAATCAGGCCCTTCGCTGAAGGTTCATCTCAGCATTCTGCATTTGCCAAAATTCATCAAAATCTCTATGTTGTTCCCCAATCTTTTAGGCTAGGCTGCTGGTGAGGATTTCGTCCAACGGCTGCGGGCCATATCTCCATGGCCCTCCACGCCCAGCCGGTTGTGCCAAGAAATCATGAATTCCAGGGAAATGCCAGAGAGTCAAAAGCAACAAATCTGACGGAAGCAGATCAACGCCCCTGCGCAGCCGTTGATGGCGGGCCGTGTAGGGTCAATGGCTTGCGACAATCGCCGTCTCCGAGCCAGCACTCGTCCATTAAGCGTCAGTGTTGCTCTTGGGGCTGGTGAGTTGGAGGTTTCAGGCCAGCACTTCTTCTAGGGGGTTGAGGGGTGAGGATTCTTGAGTTAGGCTTAAGGCTCTGCGGTTAAGGTCTTCAAAGCGCTCCGTCTATGTGTTTTCAGGCCTTTCCGCGGCTGTCGAGTGCTGCAGAGAACAGGAGTTTACTCTGCCTGTTTTCGCCGACTCTTCAAAGAAACGCCTTCTCAAAGTTTGTGCGGTGCATCCCTCTATCAGAATTCACTGCAGTGGCCACACGAACATCGTCATACCCGTCCCTCGTCGGATCGTCTGCAAATCCAAAGCCAGGGCAGCCCTTCTCTTCCATTGATTTCGCAATACGCCATCTCTCCTCCAAGAAAACGGCTCTTTGCCTGCAGTTTGAGCCACTCTGACCTGTGTTTCTCTCATCCAAGTCCTTCTGCGTATCGAAATATAGGAAGCTGGGCTTCGCCTTGAGCGGCGCAAATGCAACGGCAATCAGAGGCAAAGTGATAGACAAGCTACAAAACCTGGCGCGGGCCTCGTCCGTTTTCTTGAAGACAGGCTGTCCACCATGCTCGGCAACCTCGTTCTCCCACCAGAGTACATTGCCGAGCACAGAGAACTTGACATGTGGCAACATTGGGTGAGGCATTAGGCAGCCCGAACCTGTTCGGCATAGACACCCATGACACGCTGGGCGTTTTTGATGGAGCTGTCCAGGCCTAGAGGTTTCCACCCCAGAAACAACCGGCAACTGCATGAAGATGCCAAATGGTGCCAGCTGTTGTAGCTGTTCTTCCAAGCTCGGCGCCAAGTATCTGCAGGACACGCCCATTTGGCTTTATACCTGAAGTCACAAGAATGAAGCGGTAAGGCCACAAAATCAGTTGGGGGCCTGCAGAGGACTGAGTCGCAGGTGTCGGCCTTTCGAAAGCAACATGGCCACAGGAATCAGCTTGGCCACTGTCCGCCTCGGGGCAGAAGATGAAGATGAAGTGCCCAGCTGGCCTTGCCGTTTCAAACGCGCATGCACAATCTTCAAATTCCTGCTGATTAGGTCCAGAAAAACTGATACACGACAAGCCTCTGCCCACAATGCCAGAAAGAAGTGACAGCCCAACATTGCGAGCTTAAGGCTGGGACTTGCAAGATAAGCATGAGAGTTCACATGTGGAGGTGTATGGTCTAATGCTATGTGGTGGGCACTGTCAAATCGCGCGGGCTCTGCCTCCATCATGCGATCGCACTATCACCAGGTTAGACGTGCCCTAGGGCTCGCGTCACAAGCCGCTCCGGAGCAATACTTTGCGACGTTCCGTCTCACGTGTCCTCCTTGGGTTTATTGGGACTGTCTTCTTCAGCAGCTTGAGCGCCACTCCGGATTGAGAAGTTTGCTATCTTCAGTTAGCAGTGGCGAATGTGATGAGGGATTGTATGGTGCAAGGATGCAACTGGCCAGCAGACGGACAACTGTTTGAAGGTGGAAAGTTTCCATTGCCATAGCAATGGCACAAGGTGCCTTCCTTTTGCTGGATCCTTGCGGCACATTCCTACGACTCACGGCCTGGCCTTGAATATGCGAGATTATGCGAGTGCATGTGTGCGTCACTGCGCAAGTGACCCTGAAGGCCCCAGTACACAGCGGTACGCTCATGAGCCTTGGCAAGACGGGCGGCACATCGGGCCAGAACGCTGCCTCAGCCTTCAAGACGTTGAGGCGGATGGCCCACGACAGAAGGAGTTTGCGGGCATGAACTGTGCCTCACCCACACTGACATCATGGGTTTCGCCAAGATGGAGGCCCATGCGTTTGACAAGAATGTCGCCTTCATGCTAAGGAAACAACAACCAGTACTTCGAGCGTGTGAATCCTTGATCGTCGGCGGCTCCTTCGGCCACAAGGATGGCCCCAAGCAGGTACACTTCGAGTCGCTGATCCAAAAAATTGCTGCCGTTCGTGCACATTGAGATGCAGACCACTCGCGTAGCATCTGTCAGCCTTTCAGTTTGACTCCTTACAGCGTGATCTGTGAACATCTTCCGTGCCCTTGTGTTTTTGGTTGGAGTGTTGTTTCCAGTCCGCATGGCCCACAGGATGCATACGCCGTCACCGTGCCTTTAGAGCGGCCATGCATGAGGGTCCCAGCCGCAGTGGACGGCCTCCAAAGGACCTGATTGTGGGGAATACGCTCCGCTTCATGACATGCATCATGCCTGCTGCGTTTTGAACCTTTTGGGTAGATTTCTGCTACAGGGCGGTCACGCACTGTTCTGGCTTACCTGAGGACCTGATTCCTGACAGGCACGCGAGGCGCATGCCCACCGCCACGCTCTGGTGGGGCCTTAGTAGGTTTGGTTGTTGCAAGGTAGGCTGCATCCGACTCAGTGCTAAGGCAAGGAAAAGGAAAGGTGTGTATGTGTGCGTGTGTGTCCCGAGCGGTTCTGCCGTTGAGATCCATCGTTTCAAATTTTCTCCAGCATGGGCCTTTTTGATTTGATTGGCAGCACAAGTGCGCATCTTCCCAGATGGATACCTCGCTTGAGTTCATGAGCGAATGACATACCACCTAACAAGAGCACCTCGCTAGCACAGACCATGGAAGCAAAAGTCTAGGTGACAGAGAATCAGTACCCGGCCACAGTTTCGCGTTTCCGTTGTTCTTCATGAGGTTTTCATCATGGTCGCTAGTCTCCTGAGGCCTGATTTGCCCTTGTGAATGGCTACACGTCAATCGGCTGTTTAAGTTCACCTGACACAATACGCTTGGTGCTCATCTGCTACCAGTACACATACAAGATCCTACAGGTTGATACTTCAATGCCAGGCGTAACTTTTTTACACTGAATCCTGCGACTCTGCATTAATCTCTGAAAGGGGACTGCTGAGCGCTTCATTAGTAGAGGAGTAACCTACCCTTACCTAGGCAGCATGATCCCCTAGAACGAACACTATGAGAAATCTTGGCATTGCAATACAGCTCCTGGAGGCGGCATGCGCAGGCACACCTGCAACAAGAACAGGCGTCATAGGTGGGAGGTTTCAAAGGCCAACTTCGGCTTACCACACCTCAACTTCTGCATCTGGCAGCGGCTTCTCTGGATCCAGGAAATCACAGACGAGGGTAGCGTCCTCTGGTCTGCACAAGTGACAAGATCATTACCCTAAACTGGATGTCTGCAGCATGTCTGCAAATCGCCGGATTTGAGACCACGCTCAGGGCCGCTGAACTCAAGCTGGCATGTGGTACCATTGGCACACTGCCGAAAATTGCAAACTTATGGCTTAGGACCCTCTCCCAGGCGTGGTGCGAATCCAGCGATGCGGCGCGGGCGCGGCAAAAGCAGAGGCCTAACACGGCCCAACCATAAGTCCATTGGAAGGCCGACGGTCGTTGCAAGCCTCAGGCCCAGCAACTTCAAGAATCGATCTTGCAGCTTGTACTGATGCCTATCCGAAGTGAAGCAGCGATCATCGGTTAAAATGTGAACTTTACCGTGGCCTCGCGTGTACGAGGCATCCATATCACAAACAACGAAAGATTCAGGCGGGACGGCACAGGAGATGTTCTCTAGCGGCCATGGTGTGGAGTCCAGGATGCTATCCAATTCCGGATTGGGCAGGCATTGGCTCTGCAGGCCATGCCTGGAAAGACTAACCGCTACGCAGGCCTCCAAATCAAGCCCCACTCGTGGCGGTTTAGGAAAGTCTGGACTGCATTCGCAATCGAAGCTTTGGGAAAAATCATCTAAAGCCTCCAGCTCTGCAACTAGGCCGTTCTCAGCATCCACTCCCAGCCCTCCCAGGCCTCGCAAACGGAGGCACCAAAGCCCAAGACGTCCACTCTGAGCTCGCGCAGCACAAAGTAGCTGCGGAGGCCACTTCAGCAACGTAGGCCCGACAGGCATGGTGAGCGTCAGGCAATCAAAGGTTACACCGCCGTCCTGGCTGACCCATAAATCACGATGCACATCATCAGACACACCGCCCGCCACCAGCAGCACCAATGGACGCGAAGGCACGGTGGCGCAGGCGACTCCTGCACGCGAGCCAAAGGGCGCCTGAGCACACATTCGCGACCACTTCCTGCCGGCGGTATCAGAGGCCCAGACATCCGGAAGCAATCCTGGAGCACCCTGTCCTCCAACGATGTAGATTACCCCTTTCGGCCGTGGCTCAGGCGCGGTAGAGCCACCGCAACAGCCAAAGTCAGATCTCGGGCTCCAGTGGATGCCAGCAATGACAAACTCCCAGCTGGCGCCACCATTCACCGTGCGCCACACATCATCAGAATAGCCCAATCCAGGTACCACGCCTCCGAAGACCCAGATGTTGCGCCAACCGGTTGCCGAGAGACCACCAGACAAAGCAAAGTAGCCATGACGCGGCGCCCACTCGGGCCTGGGCAGTTCGTGTAGCGGCGAATGCCAAAGCCGCTCCCCAATCAAACCGATAGCGACTTTTGGAGGGAGGGGAGCCGCAGCGCTGTCCTTCTTTTCCTTAATCTCTTTGGTCTTGGTAGGCGACATGGCTTCCAGCAGCTTGCCCAAACCCAGTCCTGCGCCATCCACAAGCATCCAGGCCTCTCTTTTTTGCAGCTCTCGTTGAACCCATTCTTCTCCGTTGATCCGGACCAGCTTGCCGCTAATCACCGCTCCCCGAGTCTCAACGCCAACAATCTCTGCAGTCGTGGAAGGCGAAGCTCGAACTGCTACCCGCTTGTGAACGACTTTGAATTGTTCCCCCTCATGCTGCGCCATCGTAAAAGGGCGGCTAGCTGCATCCCATACACATGGCTCTTTCTGATATGCAAGCTTGTGGTGCAGTTGCAGTCTTTGCGTGTCTTGACTTTAGAGATGCTTAGACCGTTACCTTCTATGACAATGTGACACAATAAGATACTATTAGGCTTCAAGCGCGCCTGAGCCATTGGCCGGCTAGCGGAAAAAAGAGGAAACACGGACTCAATCCACAACATGCTCCTAGAACGAAAGCAAGTCCTCTTCGTAGCTGCCCTCTCCATTGAAAACCTTCCATGGTCTAGAAACCAGCCAGGGAAGCTCCGCAGGCTCCTCCAGCAGTCTGATTTCAAGTTTACGGACTGCAACTGTTCGGTTTGGGCGTCCTTCACCTTTGCAAAGTCACCCTGTGATGCCAAGGATACCGACATCCGCCAAGTCTTCTTCTCTCCATAGTAGAATATGTATGTTCTCCTTGGGCGGGAATGGTGCGGCTGCAGTGACGTCACAGCAGCAGAACGTTGTGTTAGCTCATCCTATCCTGTGACTGGTTGTAGCACATTGCACACTTTGAAGCTGAGATGTCTCCGTTAGGGAGAAATCTCTTGTCTGACGAGCATCTTCTCGTGATCTGCTTTTTCAAAGACTGGGCGTTCGTCCTTCGTCTCTGCCTGGAGGGTTCTTCGCACAGGCAAAGCAAGGCTTGCAATGCTGAAAACGGAAGCGGTCCAGCTCGGTGTAGATGCCATGCACCCGTGCCGTCCTTAGATGTGGAAACCCAGAGAGCGTCGTGTCGCAACACACCTCTGTAGTCCTTGAGCACCAGACATTCGCTTTGACGGATCACGGCCATGCACGAGCACGGCCCGTGGCCTCTTGTTTGGCCTGGCCAGAGCTGGTCACTTCATCATTGACCCGCGCAGGTCTCGCAATCGCAGCAAGCCTTGCGGCAGGACCGCCGGGTGACGCTTCAGCAAGCCTCAAGTTCCAAGCGTTCCAAGCTGTGGCTCGAGAGCTCTAAGGTGAGGCAAGAAGATGCAAGAAGTATCACAGGGCCATGCAGGTCGAAGGCTTTGTCGAGTTTGACCACCTTCCTCGAGTGATGCTCAAGGAGACTCGATGACGACATCTCGCTCTGAAACACCTCTGCCCTGCGAGTTGTGAAGAGACCTCCCAGGCTGGACAAAGGAAATGGTGTGTCGGCACATGTCTCTCACGTCCGCCTCCGACTCCTGGACCTGGTTGGTCCCAGTCGCATCCTCGGCGCAAGGCTCCTGCGTGACACACGTGACAACTTTCCATACAAATCTCTTGTCAGGGCCTCTGGTCCGGGGTCTTCGCGATGACGTTTGCGGGGCCTTGACGACAGTCGAAAATGGGCCAATGGGGGATTCACCAACAGAGAACCACTCCAAGGAGCAGACCTGCCATCTTCGGCCTGTCCAGGTGCTAAGCTTAGCTGGCTTAGCTGGCTTAGCTGGCTTCTGCAGATCTTGAAGCACTGCATGCATTGTTTATTGATACACAGGCTCCGGCCGTGCCCCCGTCCTGAACGCGGAGCCACGAAGGGATGGCCAAAGCTAAGCTGGAGAGAACCCGAGTCCTCATCATTCTGAGTCTCACGTTGTTGCCTTTTCCGGATCCTCAAAAAAATTGTTTTTCATGCTGAATCCAACTTCAGTGGCATCAAGAGACCCAAACAGCGCTTTGCCGAGGCTTCAACTTGGTATTCTCGGCCTTGTCGGCCTTCTCTGCCTGCCGGAAGCAGAGGAAGACTTAGACTAAGACTCAAAAATGTAGTTCTTTCAGGGGAACCTCTGAGCGGCCATTGCTCTGCACCTCAAGCACATCCGTCGCTTCAACGCCCAAAAGCAAGAAATCAAGAAGCGAGGAGCAAGCAACCTAGGAACCTGAGCTCCAAGAAGTCTGAGCTTCTGACCGCATCGGGCTCTTTCTTCTTGGGCGCTCTCTTGACGACACCCGATCCGTTGACCTGCAGGTATCATGTGCCATCTGTAGCGAGCACTACATATCAATACATCCTATTTGAATAACCTGGCAAAACTTCGCCGAGTCATCCGGCGGCTCCAGCTTTGACACATCTCCCTTGCCGGAACACCAGGTACGGTGCATTCTGCAGAGTTGGCGCACAGCCTCGATGCTGTGGTAAAACTTCCGAAACGCGTTAATCGAGGCCGCGCGTTGACCGTTCCTGAGACTGAAGACAAACGCGGCTCGCACCCCTACTACGGCGCACTTGTTCTGGCAAAGGATTATATGAGGCCGGCACCCGCTCTTGTTCTTGGGCGAAGCCTGCCGGCTGTACAAAATGGCCGTCATGGAGAACCAATCTTGCAAGCCTTCGTGAAGTCGAAGAACTCCTGCGACGCCATTTCACTGGGAGCCTCACATCAGAATGGATGCCCGAAACATGGCTGCAAAGCAAAGCCCTTCCTTGCGGTCTTCCTCGAAAAGTCGGACGAAGTTACGCGCATAGTTTTTGGCTGTATCCTGTGGAATCACGAACACACAAGATGAAGTGCTGGTGAGGTCCGAGCAGCCAAGGAAGACACCTCCTTGCGGCCCTCAGCAAGCATGGACCTCATCAAGGATGAGTTTTTCATGCGGGCCTATGGCAGGCGAGCTAGTGCAGGCGATCCACCGCCAGCATGAGTATGCCCAGCTGGGCACCAAAGCAGCCTGGAAATACTCTGGAAAGCACTGCAAAGCGTGCACTTTTGCCAGCCTCTTCCTCTGTAGCATCTCTGAAGCTTTCCATCCAGTGATTCACAGCCTTGCGTGCGTCGAGATGTCTGTAGCAAAAGCAGACAGAATTCCTCGAGCAGGTATGCTAAACTTGGCTGAGAAGTTGGCCAAATAGTATACCGGCAGCGGTTGCTGAATGCTATGGCGCGTGATTCATATGTAAAGGTGTGGGTGTGGGTTGTTAGCTAGCACTCTGTGTTTCACGCGGTTGCCACGACGCAGCGACGCAGGTGCCTTCATTTCTGCTGAATTCTGTTCATGCAGGAACAAGGGTGAGCACAGGCTTTGCTTGCTTTCTGTGACAGGCTGGGGTATGAGGGTAACTTTGCAGCACGCGTGAAGCGGTCTCAGCGTTTGTCAACATGTCAGCCAAGCTTGGACTATGTGCTGACTGTAAGCCAGTGGCTGTCGTTGCGAGGAGATGAGCTGAACATCGCGTTCTCTTACCCTCAGCTCCCACAGCAACAAGAGCTGGCCTGCCGCTGCACCTCACCTGCATGATCTGCATTCCCCAGGCTTGGCATCACAAAGCAGTTGCTGGAACGAAAAATAAGTTGCAGCCTCAAAGTGGCAGTCTTTGCCCAGAGGTAGGCCTGAGGCGAGCTGAGAAGAAATGAAGAGTACAATCACAGCAGCAGGACCGCAGGATGCAGCAGGGACAATGGCGGTCCACCGGTGGCAGGGGTGGAGGCTGCGCCATGTGCTTGGGAAGCCTCGACAAATCCACGTTGCCGGGTCTGACAGACAACTGAGCGCGACAGAAATCACATCAGGCCAAACTTGGCTCAAGGCGTCACACGCGGCATCCGTTGGTTGTGTTGATTGCTGCTTGCAGCAACATCCTAAACAGATTTCTATGACGATGTGATACACACAGCATTACAAAAAAATGCAGCTGAAGTTTTGAAAGCAAAAATGGATTTGCAAAGGCCCCAGCTTCCAGTCTTTGACCTTCATGCACTGCAATCGTGAGAGGTCGTGAGGCTTTGCGCAAGAGCAAGGAAGAAAGCAGGGCCTCGTTCGGCTCGTTCGGCTGCTCTTTGTTTGCTTGCGGACAAGGCTCGTAGCCCGGCCATGGTCGTTTTTGTACTGACCCAGGGAGAGAATTGAAGCGGATTTTGACAAGCTTTGACTAAAATCTCTGGAACAGAACGAGGATGAACGAGGACGCGTCATGCTCTGCACCACCATCCTTCGAGCAGCAAAAGATACGGAGGTACTGATCCGAGCCTTGAACGACCCGTCCATTGCGAAGCTTTCTCTGGACCTTCTCTTGGTTGGAAACGCGTCACTGACTGCTCACCAAGTTTCTTTAAGGTGCTTGCCTGTCAAGCTTCGTGACTCCACCTCGCTGGGGCAGCAGAGCACGGCTATAAGCAACATCGTCTGCATGCAGGTAGACGCTTCTTTTTCCGCGCTGGGATCGCATGGACGTTCCAGCACGAAGGCACTGTACCTTACAAATCGTGTCAACCATTGTTACCAGCACTTTAATCTTGAAGCAACAGATATTCCTCAGGCGAGAGGCAGATTGAAGACCTCTTCTTCATGGCGGTTCATGCTTGCGTTTTCTCTCTCCTCGGTTGTGAAGATCCGCAAAAAAGCCTGTCGGATGTGCAAGTCCCTGTGACAGTGCATGTGTGCCAGGCATAAGCCAAGCCTCTCTAGAAAAGAATGTCTTGAAGAAGCGCGATCTCAGTTGGCCGCTTGCCAATGCGGTATTTACTTCGTAGCACATTCCAATGACAACAGCCTACAACAAAGGAGCTGACACATCCCGAAGGAGGACAACCCAACACGACTGGAACACCCGAGGTCGCGTAAGGTACTTGCCTTTGCTTAAATGTCTGAAAGATTTCTGGAAACGCCGCATCCGCCACTAACCTCAGGGTAGCAGCATGGCCAGATCAAATCCCATCAACTCTTCCGACCGGCCTGAAACCAAGAGATACCGCAAGCAGCTCGAAAGCTTCCCAAGGCAGAAGATACTCCTGTGACCGGACTGACCCCACAACGCAATCTTCAGCTGACATGCCCATGCCTCAGCCGCAACAGCCCCCTGCAGCCAGAAGCGATAAGGCAAACCCCATCGGTTCTGGAAGACCTCAAGCATCCGTCAAACGCATCCCAGTGGGTGGTCAGCACACTTGAATGGCAATGTAATGCAATGTGACCCTAAGCCTCATCCACGACCATTGGTTCCCCTGTTGCTTGCAGTCCCTGCCAGGCTTCGCCTTCGAAATGAACCTGAGGTATTTCTGACAAAGCTGCCAGATATGTCTAATTCAAACCTCACCGAATCGAGGTACATGGAACAAGCTGCGCTGCAGCTCTCTTTCGAGACTCCTGCAAAGCGAACTGTGGAGAAGCCGGAGAATGTGCATCCGGCTCCGTCCTGGCACTGTCCGTAGATGGAGTTGCCTGCTCATACAGGTCTGCCAACTCCTCACACCGAGGCACCTGCCAGGCCGGACTACGTGCTTCCCGCATATGTGCATAGTTCTTCTTAAGGCAGCAGTCTGGAGTCCGCACCGTTGCGATGAAACGGCCACCCGGCCGAAGAAGCGCAAACACCCTCTGCAGCAGAGTGGTGGCATCCTCTCGCAAAGGCGATCAGATCCATACAAAATCATACGACCATTTGAAGTAATTTGATTCTGACACGATATGTCTTTGCTTATGACTTCATGAATGACATTCGTTCCATACGATTCGGAAAGTATAAATTTGGAGCTGATACTATGGCGTGCCCACGATTTTTTGGAGCTTCCATGGCCTGCTCTGATGCCAAGAGATAGTGGAGCGCGAATTGGCATACCACCACGTCAAACCTTTCACTCTGAATTACTAACAGGCAAGGTCTCCCTTTCTAACACAACCGAAAAAGCGCCAAAAACATGTTGACAGGCGTGTCGTCTGATACTCACTGTTCTAGGCAACAGTGTCTGCGGGACTGCCAATTACCGTCCGTAATGCTACGGATTTGCTAGCAATCACCCGCTTCATGAAATACTAATACCAGATTCTCCGTGCTTGGAGAAGAAGCTTGTGAAGGCTTGGCTGGGCCAGAGCCCCGAGATTAGGAACATCCCCCCCAACAATGCTGATGATGGCGGCCCATGGGCCGGCGCAATCAGCATCATGGAGGGTCCGTTGCTCACCCCCAGGTGCCGCGCAAGCTTCGCAGTATCTAGAAGGCTTCATATGGTTTCATGAGTGTTTATGATCATGGCTGAAAGTGTTCGCTGAAGGCTGTCTGCAGGTTTCCATGAATGACGGCTGCTAGATACGGCACATAGGCTGTTGGATGATGTCAACATATGTCAACAAAGACCCTAAATTTGAGTGGCACCACGGCAACGAGCTTCACGCAAAGCATTGGTGCGAATGGTGCGATAGGCACCCATGAGATCACAGCAGCCCCATATTCACAACGAGTGAGCAAACAGGGAAAACCAACAAATACTGGCAGAACGATAGTTTAACAGTTTAACCGCTAACGCGAGACCGCCTCGGCAAAGGCTGTTGAGGCGAGAGAGCAGAGGAGCACGGGCAGCAGAGGTCACAGCTGTATGGGCTCGGACGGGGCAAGCCACGGGCCAGCTCTCGCCACCGCCCAGGGGGAACCTGCATTTCGACTCCACAGCCAGTGCGGAACCCTGCCAACCATGCGGGCCCACCCTGCCCCCCCCTTAGAACCCAAAAACATGAGAGCCGTCGGACCCACACTCCCGAAATCGTGCCGTTTGGGAGGGCGGGTCAAACTACTTTCCTAGTCCCTGTAATTGGATCTAAACGCCCCAGGCCTCCGGCCTCGGCGGATAAACTCAGAAGCGTACAACATTCAACTCCGAGGCCAATTGATTCCACGTTAGGTTCCGCCGAATGTGACATGCCCACAAGAAGCGCCTACTTTGATTCACAGTGGCTCTGGTGCTCGCAAAGCACGGTACATGTACCCAGGGGGAGGGCAGAGGGAAACAGCTAAGATGAAAGTTATTGGGCTCTGGCCTATTAGACTTTGGAGCAGACAATAAACGTAAGAGTTGAATGGCGGTGCACAAGAATCTAAGGCACGGAAACCAGCGTTTGCTTCTCGCATCGTGTCATGTAAGATTGATTCTGCGCAGAATCATTGCACGCGCGGAATAATCTCGCAAGCTTGCAGTCGCCCCGCGTCAGATTTGCTAGTCATGCTGTCCAGCTGGCCGCGCATGCCAACCCTCCTGTAAGACGCTACACTGTCGGCCACCGGGCTCTTGGGAGGTGAACTAAAGAATTCTTGACTGGATGTTCCTCAATGTTTCAACCTGCGGGCCAGGCAAAAAAGTCTTAAAGCCTTCACCAATCAAAATGAATCCTTTCGAACACCTTCGCTCAGTCTAGTCGCTGCAAAAGACTTTCAGGTGCTTCAGCCAGCAAACTCAGGCACAACAAAACGGTCCTAAGAACAGTCACTTTCATCCCTTTCATCACTCAACCCCAGAACCAGAAATTGTAGCAAAGCAGCTCAGCGTGGCCATCCTGGACTAGCTTGTCAAAGATTGTGGGGTCGCGACAGTCACCAGCATAGAATGACGCCGCAAATTCTAGCTGCCCACGTTGCTGACTTCTAGCATGCAGCTCACCTCTGCTCTGCTCACATTTGCGTCTGAGTGGGCGCCTGAAGTTGACTCCTCAAGGCACTTCTTGCCTCTCTACAGACAGGGCACGATAGCGACGTCTGGCTTCTTCCACGGCTTCGATGGCGAAATCGACGCACACCACAGATTTGACAGCACAGGCGCGATGTTCACGAGAGTACCTTGCACAGCACCGGGCAAAGTGCCTACCAGGACAACTGCTTGAACCTGCCAATCTCAAAAAGCAATCAAGCTGCTTCCCAATGTCTTGTCCACGGCCGCTACACAAGTCCAGAATTCGCACATCCCCCTTCAAGTCATCCACAAAGCCTGGGATGAGCTTGCCACGACTTTGTTATCAGAACTCCACAACCTAAATCCACATTGACCGCAAAAACATGCAAAACGTTATGACTTTGCTGGTCCCCTGTAGCCAGCATTGGCTTTACAGACGACATGGGACTGATTGATTGATGTTGCGTCACTTGCACTTGCTTCGTGGCTAAACCACAACCCACAAGCCAACCAACCAAGTGAGACAAGACGACAAAATCCCGACATAACTTTCAGAACCCAGACACTGGTCACATATGAAGGTCATAAGACCACAAGCAACACCTGAACGAACTCCCGCAAGACTAGTTGAAGAGAGACAAACGGAAAAGAAGCCTCCCAAACTGTAACAGGCCCAACATCATTCCAGCAAAACCGAATCTACAATCCCTCTAGAAAACCGTCGGGAATTCCTGAAAGGAAGGGCGATCACTTGCGATTCGTCCAGAGGTTATTGGTGACTTTCTTGGGTGGAGACTTGTGACTTCCTCTGGGGTCACTGGCAACTTTTGTGAGAAATGAATTTGCTGCAAAGCGCTCGAAGGCAAGTGTGACCGAGTCCGGGATCAGGTTTCGGGTTTAGCCGGGGTTACGGCTTTCTGCGGCTACCAGGCGCTTCTAATGCTTGAACTGTAAAGGCTGAACAGAAAAGGTTGGTGCATGGGCGCCGCGTAGCGCCGCCATCAATCGCACAGGGAAGGTGGTTCTGTATCTGTTGACGCAGAGTTGTAGCTCTACCATGTCTGTACGGAAGTGGAGCGGGCTGTTTCAGGCTTAGCAGCGTCTTCGGGGCTTGCGCTTATGTAGTATATGGGGCCTGGGGAGCTTACGGCTGGAGGGTGCTGAGGATGAAGGGATGGATGAAGGTTTTGGAGTTAGGGTTTAGGGCTGTTGCAATTGGGTTCAATTTCAGTATACTATCTAGGATAGGCGCTTTGGGGTAGGGGATGGTAGGGGGTTCAGGTTTAAGGTGCGTGATTTAATGTGTTTGGGATGGCTGCGGAATTTTTCAAGGTTCGGGGGCAACATGTGGAGGGTGGGAGGGCCCAGGCTTCGAAAGTCACGACAGTCGGGCACTTTAAAGAGGAGCACCAGCACGCAACTGCGGAAATTCTTAGGATAGGGGGTCCAAAGCCGCACAGTTCTGCTTTTCACGACGACAAAACTTGAAGTCACAAGCGACCCAAAGTGAGAAGTCACAAGCAAGGCCCAGGAGAAGTCACCAACGACCCCTCTACAAAATAGAGCTCCAAGATCTTTGCTAGTTCTGCACTTTGCAATACGAAGGCATCATAGGCCACAAGCAGCACAAACGGACTTGGGCTGGTAGTGCTGCTGACTGTGTCCTGGCTGTTTGCTTCTAGCCTCTTGAGGTCTTCCCTCTGAGTCGTCGAAGGCCACCGAAATTAGCTCAATTGAGACTCCGTGTCCTGACTCTGGCAATGAATGCGATACAGCAAGCTCACCGTAAACCTGGAATACTGACAGTTCCAGAAGCAAGAAATGTAGCCCAACAATGTTTGTGCCGCTGGCCTTTGGGGATCACGAGCCAAATCTGTGTAGGTATTCGCAGAATGCTTACATGCCAGTAATTTTTGGCATGCAGTGGCTGTGGAAGGTTTTGCAAGTAGGGGCGTCAGCGATTACCAGAAAAATCTGCCGCGCGAAGTTGCGCAGGAATCTTTAGACTGAGGGACCATGAGTCTGATCATGAGTGGCGAACTGCGTTTTAAGGCAAAGTTGCTGGTTTGACCCTTTGACGCCCTTCTCTGGTCTCGGCCTTGGCTTCACTCTTTTGCATCATTAAGCTTTTTTCATGGTTGCGTGGCAGGAGCCATGGCTCGACTAAATGAGGGTGCTCAATATGGGTCTAGTTCCAAGTCATGCAGAATGAGTGTCAAGTCTCGGTTAGGCCGTCCCTCAACATCATTATGAGCAGCGCGTACTGGGCTGTGCTTTCGCACATCCTGCTGCCCAGTAACCTTCCAAAAGCATGGTCTTGATGCAGTTGTTGAAGCGCTTTACTCTTCTTGTAGGATCGGCACCTGCAGGGCTGCAAGCAGGGCTGCTGTGTCATCGCTGAATCTGGGCATGGCCTTGAAAATCTGTCTGTTCCTGCGCCCGTTTCGAATAGAATTCCTGGACTTGTGAGGACATGTCGAAGATGCCAGGATAGAAGAGCTTCTTCCCACCTGGAAGCAGGTTGGTTGAACCATCGCTCTTCCATCATTGTTGTACATAGATCGCTACGCTGGATGCAACCCGCTCTGCTTGATTCTGCTTGCAGCAAATCAGATTTGCATGAAGGTGTTACAAAATGTTACAAATGACTCTTCTTGCAGTACACTGTCAAGCTGGGCGGATACCGTTTTCTTTGGATCCTTTAACATGACAGGAGGCAAATTATTGCCTGGATCAGTTCGAGAATCGTCCAGACGATCCAAGACTTGTTGGAGGGCTTGTGCATTTCTGCGAAAGTCTCGGCAAAGTCGACCTGAATCTTCAACTGCCTTCTCGAAGTGCACAACAGGTGAGTAGACATGCCAAGCTTCTGAAGCTGTGCTGCTCTCCCTGAAGCATTCGGGCCCGGTGGCCGAGAAAGAACGCCTGCAGTGCTAACATCGCTGCAGAGATACACCCAGGGAACATCAACGGGCCTCGTTCATGCGAAGCTCAGTCCACACCCTCTCCCCTTCTTGCACAATCGAAACTGTCCAGGCTGGATCCTGGCCACCGGCTACCTCAGCTTAGGAGGACAGCAGCTTACTAGAAGGGCTCAAGGAGCGTGAGCTTCCCTAAACACTGCAATGGAAGAACCGGCAGCATCTTCAGTTGTCACATCTCCATTCAGGGTGGACTAGGGTCGGGGCCTTTTGGAAAACCAGATTGAACTCCTTGCGATCCTTGGCGTGTCCTCAAGCGAATATGGGTTAAAGTCAAAGTGCATCTCGTGTTTTGTTTGGCAACTGTCGGTCAGTTGTCCTTCTTTGCCCTGCAGCTCTCGGAGCCTGATCAGAGCTTAGCAATTAGCCAAGGTAGCACACGGGACCTCATTCGTGGGGCCACTTGGCACTACAAAGCCCCTGCTCCATTGCTCCTTTGTCAGACATGTCTTTCCTTTCAGACCTTTGGGTTCGCCATTCCCATCTCTGCCTTTCTGAAGAGCTGTACACTATACACAATCCGATAGCCATCGCGTATGGAAAAGCGAGGTCCGGAGTGCTATGCAAACGGCTTTGAGACTTGGCCATGCCTTCTGCGCTTGGCACCACCCCAGGGGCTTTCATCGATGACGTTCACTGCACTTCGTACATATCTTTTCTCTTTTCTCTGCAATGCAATCCTTCTGAAGCTTTGATGTGCAAATTTCAGTAAAACAAAATTCAGGAAAGTTTTGACTACTAAGATTGTATGCTATACTATGGTTGTGTGCCGCGCGTTCTGTCCCCACCCTTCCATGGCATCGCCCCCCAGCTCCAGCCACAGGCAGGTTGGGGGGTTTGGTTCTCCCATGAATAGTCTGCAAATCTCTAGATAATCTTTGTAACTTTGTAACCTCTCAAGCCCCAGAATGCATAATCTCAAGGTAACTACTTCTTCTGACAAACTATATGTCTGCGATAACTCTTTACCCCTCAGATATTATCTGATCTATTCTCCCTAAGACCCAAGCCAAACTACACCACAACACCCAAGGGGAGGGATGGGGGAAGGCCCGCCAGCACGCAAAACATATCTGCGTACGACGGTCTTTGAAGAATTGCAAAACCATCGACATTGACGTTGTTCTTGGCTTGCGTCGCAGCTTTGAGGACTGTGTTCGCTCAGGGTGGTGTTCAAAAAGTCTTGTGAACACAAAAATGTGCCTGGCCACTTGTTTGAAAGGAGTTGGGGATCTGGCCGTCTTCTTTGTGTTTTGCTCTGTCATGTTCGTGGGTGGTCTTTAAAACGCAATGAGACTAAATGATGGTGGGCCGAGAGTTCAAATTGGTGAATTCATCTACTGCATGGAGTCAACGCGTTTCTGAGACCAGCTTCTTGGAACGGAGTGAACTGCAGCAGCTTTCACGGTGTGGACGCTTCAGATGAACAGGTCTGCGCTGAGTCGCAGCTGAAGGATTACCGTTCAATTTGTTCATGCTGGATAGTGCGAGATCTGAGGAAATCTGTGAGAAGCAGTATTTGCTTGAGCGCAATACGTTTAAAAAGGTCGACGGCCAAACAGCTTTCATGTTTCACAATTGGCGAGCGTTCACTCAGGTGGGGGTGTAGCCGTCACATCGACCACAATAATCAGTAAAAGATGCGAAAATACATGATGTGTTGCAGAAAATGTCCCAAGAAAATCTTGTCCAAAAGCCCACACACGGACTAAGCACATGAGGAGACTGCTTTGCAACCATGATCCTCAACAACAGCTTGTACATCGTGGCGCATGCATGACCAATCCCAAACGTACCCGAACCATTTTGCATGTATGGCTCGCACTTCTCTCAAGTGGTTTCAAAGATGTAGAAGTGGCTCTGCGTGTCCCAGCACAGAAATGACTCAAGAACAGGCCATCCCCAAACCACAAGATGACGTCATGAGTCATGAGGCGTCCACGTTGCAAGCCTGAGGTGTTGATCTTCCACAGTACGCACTTGCTGATGCTTCGTTCTCGAAGGTCAAAGCCCATTGAGTGAGGTCTACCTTGAGCGATCTTAGCAGCACATCTCCACCAGATTTGTAGGTAGACACTAGTCTCGCCTAAGCATTACTGTTTTTTGAAGATGCGCGCTTGTAAACGAGACCTCATTACACCTTAGCGAAGCTGTTCCGTTTGGGTTCGATGTTGACCTTGATGGAGACTTCCTGCAAGGCGTTCTATTGCATAATTGTTCCGTGAAAGGTAGATGCCGTGTACTTCTTTGCAAGATGCCTTCACTCAGTCCTGGGGATGACCACCTGAAAACCAAAACCAACGCCTTTGGGGCGCGGAGAGACACTCCATCATGTGGGAATGGACCCTCAATAATTGATGCTGATGCCGCCGACCAATCATGGCCCCCTGCGCCAGTATGATGAGAATCCCGATGTGGGCTCTCTTCGCATTCCCAGTTGGGCCCTACGAAGTTACGATTTGCACTGACTATGGCGCAACGTTTGCCCATATGTTGTCACCCCCCACTCCCTGAGTTCAGGCCCTTCCTGGCCCTTGCGATGACGGCTTGTAAAACTCTCCAAATTAAGGCAGTTGGAAACGATCTCAAGCATTTGTGAACTGCGCCTCATCTGATAGTGCCATCTGCTGCCTGGACAATAAACCGTGGCCACGGCACGCCAGCTGCCTGAGGCCACGTTCCTGGCAGAAGCTCCAAAGCTGCCGCCAAGCTGACATCTTCGCTTGTCTTTTGCCTCTGCTCCAGGCTGACGGAAGCCCAACGTCGCTCGCTGGGCGGCTTGCCCTGAGCTCAATGCTTTCATCAACCTCAGCACTGCCAAGGTGGAGACCGCGCCTTGTGAGCGGCCAAGCGGTTGTCCAAGAAGGCCCTCAGGCGTGAGACCTGCGCTTCACCCAGGTCCTCGATGAAGCTGTGGCCCAGCCCTTCCTCCCGAAGCTATGTCCGTACAGCTTTCAGTGAGCAGAGATGGACATGACTGCGGCCTCGAGAAGAACTTCTGTGGCCACAGGCAGGACCACTTCTTGAGAGCTGCCTTTGCCAACCACGCGTCCTATGACCAGCGCCACGCCCAGTGACGATGAGCCTGCCTCAGACAAAAAGATGAAAAGAGAAATATCCATGGACATTCAGGGCCTTAGAAGTGGTCTGCCAATCCAGGCCTGGGGTGTTGCAGCTGTTAGGAGATCGCGAAAGCAACTCTCGAGATCTGATTGGAATTTCCTCTTGAAGCACTGCCTGGGCGTGGAGACTATCTCAGAGTGTACACATACAAATCCCTCAGTTGACTGTCAGAAAGCTTTGGCTCAATCCAGCCTGCGAGGATGTGGCAGATCATCCTTAAAGGCCAGTCAGGCAGGCACTCGCGGATCTGCAGTGATCAGGCCTGCGGTCCCCAGCGCCGCTTTTGTGGTGGTGGCGGTGGCATACTTGGCATACTCTCTTTGGCCGCGGATGCCATGGCCCAGGATAGAGCGGACGGTCGCTGCACTACGTCATCGTCGACAAAATCCAGCACACTTGGAACTATCCTTGTTTAACGAAAAGCATATATCTACCCGTGCATGGCTGTACCTAGAAGTACCGACTTGAAACATCATAACTATGACGTTCTTGCAGCACTAGGTCAGTGGCGGCCTTGGTGCTTAAACCCGGTATGATTAAACGTTCTTCTTAGAAAGTCCCGCAACCAAAAGGAGAAGAGGATCTTTGTTTGCATGAACTATTGTGACCTTTTTTTTGATCCACTATTCACATGTTCTTTCCACATCCTGCTCCCTTTGAAACGCAGACCATCGAAGGTCTAAGGAGGTCTTGCGAAGTCTTGTCTCCTCTGCTAAGCACACAAAGCTATCATGCATCAATGTCTGCGTGCGCTTTGGCACTTCTGCAGAGCAACACGCTTGCAGCAAAGAGATATTTCTTCCAGGCGATTGCAATTACAAAGGTTGAAAAGCGAGGCCAAAACTGGAGGATTTATGCTTGTTTTGCAGAAGTGTGCTTGCCCAAGGTCCGAGCTGAAAGTTCTGCTCTGTCTGGGCCTAGCTGGGGAGGCCTCCGCGGCAGCCCAGGGCAAACCTTTTCCTGCAACTCCGCTCTTGGCAGACCTCGCGGGCAACGACTCTGGCTGCGGAATTTGGGCACCTTGCACATGGATATGGGTGTACAAACACTGCAAGCATCGCGGTATTGAGGCACTGACCCAACCGTGAGCGGCCATCCTCCAGATCCGTGGAGCTATCACTGCGCTCTTCCTGCTTCCTGGGGGCACATCACCTCCTTGGGTAGCAACAAGCGACGCGCCGCCCCAGGTAAAGATGGCAGAGGTGGTCTCGGCCTGGCTGGGCAAGAGTCATCGTGAAACACCACACGTGCTGAGCCCCAAGTCCTAATACACACGGTGTCCAGATGTGCCAGGTCCGCGCAGGAATCACTAGACACCAGCTCAAGCGCCTGGACCTCAATCTTGGTGACGGTACATGCGAAGGAGATACCTCCACATGAGACAATACTCAAAACTGCAGGGCGAACCTTGCTGCATGTCGCACAGCCTCCTGGCTCAACACCTGTCACATCTGTGTAGAATTGTGTAGACAGTTTATTTGTAGCCCGAAGAATGTGGAGTACATGTGACTGAAGCTGAAGCGATAAACTCGGAAAGCTGCCGGCTGATGCGCAGAGTGGAGGCTGCTGGACCTGCGAACAGGAATTGCAACACCTCCAACGTGTTACCTCTCCAAAACCCGTCCTTCGCAAACAGCGCAGTGGCGAGGGCAGCTTTGAGCTGATGCTATAGCCTCATTGCGTTTCACAGCAGTCAGCCCTCCACACAGACGCCCTTTGTGGATTCTCGGATGCCACTCAGCATGGGAGACCCTTCTCACCACGTGATTTTGGAAGGCTTCAGCTGGCACTTCTTCAGAGCAGAGGACTGAGCTGGGAACCACTGTAGACAGCTTCGGGAGCGGGCTGTGCTTGAGGTGTTTGGCTTGGGCCGCTGCCAAGGCCTTGGAAGCATCCAGTTAAGTCTGTGTTTCTGTGTGCAGTTTTTGCGCTTTTAGGCACCGACCATCCATGACATCAGATCAACAGCTAATGATCGTGTTCCTTTACCGGCTTAAATTTGAGACATGACTTGCCATCTTTTCGGAATGCACTCCACCATGGAACCGCTAAAGTTGAAACTCCACAAAGCTGGGTGTCAGCTTCTCTCCAGCTTTATCAGTTCATGCATTAACCCACGTCATCGATTTCATCCTCCATGCACAAACTGCTGGAACCAGTTCTTGCAATCTGCGATATTGGCGTGTTTGTGGGCCGTTCACGTCTGGGTCTGAATCCGCGGTGGCGAAGCTCAGATCTGCATCGGTTTTTCCAGCACCGCACAGGTCGTCGTCTCCTCACGCCTCAGCGTTTCATCATGGCATTTCAACAACTCAGCCTGAACCATGCTGGGATGTTCTGGGATAATCTGTGGACCGCACCTTGGCACCGGACAGCATGGACTTTGCCTGCTGCAAGGCATCCATCTCATCCTCTCGAGCTGACTGCCTGGGCAAGAGCACCATCGTGGCAGCGCAAAAAAACTTAGATGCGGTTCAAGCCACCTAGCATCGAAGTTCTTCAGCAGGAAGTCACACTGGTCCTGATCGTTGGCGCTGCCAAAGCCCAACATCTTATAGCCCAGTACAAACAAACTTGCTTTCGCATCTGTTCATGTCAAGTGGCGTGCAGCTCTGCGACGGCGATTGCGAGCTGAGAAAGCTCATCGCTGAGTCCTGCTTTGGACTGCCGGGCCTGGGACGCTGTAAAGCATCAAGCCGCTTCAAAGCCTTCAGCTTCATGTGCCTCCACAAGTGAAGCTTCAGTAGCTCCCTTTTCTCCCTCCTTGTCTGTGATGTCCTTTGTCTTCGCATCAACAGACTCCTGCGAGGAAGTTGAAGGTGAAACTCAACCAGCAAACGCATCCTCTGGTGTTGCGTGCTTTGGCAAGACAGCTTTGCATTCTGCTGCTGTCCATCGAAGTGTTTGCAGACAAGGCACTGTGGTTGCCTTGGCAAATGCCTGCACTGCAGATGAGCTCAACTGCAGCAAATGCCTGATTTTGAAAGCCCCAACATGCCTCGTAGTCCTGCTGGGCTGTGCTCTCGGCATGAGTTGCCTGACTGAGAATAACAGCGAGCTAAATCACCTAATAATTCTTACTTCTGAAGGTCTCTCGCCTCAACCTCCATCGCCTTGGAGTCGGCAACTAGCTGTTGCAACATGCTCAACACCTTGGCCGACTTCTGTGTTTCATACAATCACTGCTTCAGCACATCCTGCATTGACCGCCATTCCAACAGGTGGGGTGTGGACGCCGTAGCTGCTTGACTGCTGCTTGAAGTCCTCCCACTGCCGTAGGGCTCTGCAAGTTGCCAGTTGCCAACTTTTGTCCACCCGGCCTTGAACTCAGGTTCCTGAGACTCCCCTGACTTGGACTTGGACTTGGATTGCTCTTGCATGAAAGAAGCCTCAGGTTACGAGGCTTGCCAGCTGATATTCCATTGCGGCCTATCCCCACCTCCTTGGCGTAGACAGACTTCAGGGTCGTCATGGCATCCTTCAAAAGCATTTGGGACTTGCGCTGCTCTGCCACGACCTTCTGGAACTCCTCGCAAGCAAGGCAAAGAACTGCAAATTTTGTTCACGTGGAAGCGCAGCTCGAGGCCCCGCCGCTTGAAGGTCGGTATTGGCTTTTTGCCTCAAAGTCATCCTAAGTTCTGTAGCTTTGGGAGTTTGGCTTCAACCAAACAGTTGTGGTGTGGCGTGCAAGGCCAGCCAGTGCAGAGCACGACAAGACAAGGGGCGGCAAACGGCTTGCGTGCAAAACCCAGCCGAGCATTGTGCGGAGCCGCGGATGTGACTCTTCATTGAGGCTGGAAAGCAGTCAAGCGAAGGCTATGAGCCCAAGTGAGATGCCAAGGCGAGGAAACGGCGCCAGCCTACTGCACAGTGCCATATAATCTGATGAGAGCATGGCTGTGATCCTGTGTCGGCATTTGTTGTGAATTGTTTGGATTAGGGATCGAGTTCTGCAGGCTCGTTTTTTACAGTTCGGGGGCAGGGTTGCTACCCTCACTAAACATACACGAGCGGAGCTGAATCCCTTGCAAATACTAGTGATCTGTGTTGGTCGTAGGAGATCTGCGTAGCTGAAATCTTCATTTCGGACACGAGACTCTGCCGCCGTTTGGTCCTTTTAGTTGTCTTGGTGTGAGCGCCCCTGCTGCTGAAGCAGAAGTCAGCCTGCAAGAAGGATAGAAAGCTGAGCGACTGGAATCGGCTGCCTATTGTGCTCCTTTTCACCTGCGTTGCGAGGAGTGCAGAGCTGTCGTCAAGTACCGCGCGCCGGTCGCAAGTGGAAAGGTATAGAGTCGCTTGAGGCCCCTTTGAGACAGTTGCATCCTCGTCAAAATCATACTTTGAAGCTCGTGACATGTGGAGACCTCAAGCTTGCATTGAGAAGTGAAGGTCATTCAGTGGCGGGACACTGTCCAAACCTCCTGTAGATGCCACTCAAGCAGGAGGAACCGGCCATCTATGAAGCAGCTCAAGTTCATGTTAGGGATATGATACAGAGATCGAGATTTACGAACGCTGCAAGCTGGATAGATGGGTGAATGCACGTGGGAAGTCAGACATCTCCTGCTGGATCGCTGCGAGGAATAAAGGGCTCTAGAGCTCTCAGCATTTCACCCTGCAAGTATGATGCATGCAAGCCAGACAGAGCTTCTGGGTGGCGAGTCCAGCCAGTAAAAGCAGCATGGTTCACTAGCATGTCAGTGCTACTGGTAGAAGGTCTTTGGAAGAAATGGGCGCTCCCTATGTCTTGCACCCTTCATGTGTGTGCGCGCCAACCTTTCATGTGTGCCCGCCAGCACCAAAGGCATATAATGACAGGGATGCCTGTTGCCAGGCAGCTTGGACGGTCTTCTTCAGCAACGAAGTTGTGGTGTGTGCAGGGCCAGTCAGTGCAGAGCACGACACGACATGAGACGGGCAACAGCTTGCGTGAAAAAAACATTCGTGCATTACGCTGAGCCGTGGATGCGACTCTTCATCACGGTTGGAAGGTAGCAAAATGAATTTCAGGCTGGTCAGGCTTCAGCATAAACGCGAAGGAACTCCGACATTCAAAACAGTAGTCTCAATAGTCAGGATGCCAATAAACTGAACCGGACATGCAAGGAGTCCCGAACAGGGTTGCAAGAGACATATCACAGGAGATAGCAATTGCGAAGCACAATTCCCATCACATAATTCGGACGCACGAAGGTCATAGCCTGAATTGAGACCTTCGGCCTTCCCTTGGTCCGGTGTCTTACCATCCCTTTCTTAAACATACACTTTATTTGCAAGCTTGAAAGGTGACAATATCCTGAGCTGGCGACAAAGGCTTGTTACACAGTGCCGTCAATGTCTGTGCATGACAGCAGGACTGCAGTCCTTGTTTTCCTTTTCGCGATTTTGGCCTGCAACCTGGATCTGCTTGTTCATCTCGGAGACCTGCTCAGGGTGCAACATCTTGCCATAGCAGTGAAGGTTGCACAATTCTTTAAAAGATGCAGAGCTGCGGAGCAGAGATTATGGCGAAGCAGTCTTCAAATCCGCATCAGTTCCTTGTGCCACGCCTCATCCTCCAGGAGCCTTAGCGGATGAAGTTGGGACAAGAAGCAATTGGTTGGATTCGGACTCGGAACTTGCGACATCTTGCCAAGACGGGAACTTAATGTCGCCGCCAAGTTGTGAGACTGAGCTTTGAAGGCTCTCCATCTCGGCCAGCTTGGTCTGCTCTTCACGGGTCTTCTCCTGAAACATGTTTATGAAGGGTCGACGCGCTGCCTGCTTTTTTTCCTGTCCTGCGTTTCCAGCTTCTTCCTCTGGAACTCCTCTGTGCACCAGTCCTTTCCACAGCATTCAACTGTCATATCGTCGCGGCGGGGCAGTGATGGCTGTTGCGCAATGCAGAAACTTCTGAAGCTTCGCGGCGCCTTCTTCTTCACTTCTGCTGCCTGCTCCTTTTTGAGGTCTGCTTTCATCTCGTCAATTGCCTTTTTGACCTTCTCGAAGGTGTCCAACTTCCTGACCGATGGCAGAGCAGTGCCGTGCGCAAGCTGAAACATTGAGGTTACAAGTCGGAACGCACCATAACGCACCCCTCAGAGGCTCATGCAGAAAGCATCTATACATGGAGAACCACAACAAGCTGATTGCGTCGAAGTGCATGGTGAGCGCCAAAGTTGACAAGCGCACCTCGGAGAAGCAAGTCGACACAACTTTCTCAACGTAATTGAAAAAGAGCTCCCTGACTACTGCAACAGACAAGCGACATCCAGCTTCTTGCCAACCTGTGCAATCAATTTGGCAGCTCGTTCGTTGTCACTTCCAACCTCGGCTTGCATAAGTATTCCAGTAACAACGCTACAGAATACAACCATTGCCATCTGCATCTGCCTGCAGGAAGGAGAAGGTTTTGCCAAAAACATCATGAGCCTCGTGGCAATACAGCGCTTGACTTGCCCAATGTTCATTGCGTGGGCTATCATGGGGACATGTTGGGCCTCATCGGAGCTCAAAACCTGAATGGCTTTGGCAACCGCGGTCTGCTCTTCGGTTCGCAGCTTGCCTCAACAGTATGGACAGCACGACAGTCACCTGAATACCGAGTCGCCCGTTTTCAGTTATGGGGTTTGGGCTCGGGTTTACTGCCAGGGCGTCCAGGTTTAAGGTCGGAGGTTCCAGGTATCCGCATGTCGAATATATGACAGGAATCCATAATACCGGCAACTGAGGCTTTGCGTGCGTACGGAGCACTTCGCTTTTCGTAGTCTGCGTCCATAGCCGCGCATTTCTCCTGAAAGCGTTGCGTGGTTCCTTGATAGCAACTTAGGGACAATGGAATTGCCAGCACTGCGACCTTGACGACTGTGTTCAGCGAGCCGTCGGCCTCCAAGGCAGCTGTGGTGTCCTTGATATCCTTCAGAAGTATTCTGGCCAAACATGTCTTTCTTTGAGCATGAAGACATCACAGCTGCCTGCTTAGCTTGGGCATGCTCCAGGTCCGCAGTTGCCTTCTGCTCTTTTTTCGCCTACAGGTGAAAAAGTCTTGGTCCATGCAAGAGGCTTTGGCTACAGTAGGGGGGTCCAGTGCACATCCACTTGGCGGTCCAGCCCGCATCTTTTTTGCATCCTTTTTGAGGGTAGTTTAGTGTTTCAGCTTTAGGCCGAGGTTTGCCAGTTAGCGTTTTGAGTTCGGATTTGGCTCTAAGGTGGTCAAATCTCGAAACAAACACATCTAGGGTTGAGGGGTTAGGGTTGCCCTTGGATTGAAGGTCGTTCAAGCTTAAAGCGTTTAGTGCTTGTTACGATTTAGGCTGCAGCCACTCGGGCTGGGGCTTGTGGGGTCTGGAGTTTACCCTTTCGTGGCTGCAGGGTTTAATAAGGCTTTGGTGGTGGAGGGTTTATTGTTCAGGCTCATACGAGTAGGTATAGGAGTTGGGGTTTGGGAGCAATTTGCGGGTTCAAGGCTATCAGGTTTACGAGTTCAGGTATTGGGTTATGGGGGTGGTGGAAAATCCTTGAATGACTTGAAGGTGCAAACTGTAGAGTTTAGGCTTTAGAGTCGTCGGGCTTAGGATTAAGGGTTGTAGGTGTTAGTGTATGGGTGAAAGGTCCGGTAGGGCCAAGGGTGACTTTTTGGGTTTAGGGTTTAGGGTGGTAGCGTTTAGGGTTTGGGAAAAGGTTTGGCAAGGCTGTGGGTGGTTTAGGGTTTACGGTTTGCAATTTAGGATCGTAGTGTTTAGGATTTGGGCTCGAGGTCTCGTAGGTCTAAGGGTGGGGTTTAGGGTTTGGGCGAAACGTCTGGTAGGGCCAAGGGTGGTTGAGGGTTGTAGGTACCGACTAGGGGACTAGGTTGTGGGTTAAAGGCCTGTTACGGCTATGGGTGATGTAGGATTTAGGATTTGAGATGGGACTGTTGCGGGCCCGTGTACTGGATGATTTCTTCGACAAACTACTGTTGTGAAGCACCGCATGCTCTAGAACACGAGTCTTGTTTTTAGAAAACGTGTGATTGGTGTGCGCTGACCCTGAGAAAAAACATACAGAACAAAACGCCCCCAGAAAAAGCTTCTCTAGTGCTGAGGCCAAGAAAAATCCAACGTTGTTGGTGTGCTGTTTGTTTTTTGCATAGTTTACTTGTGTTGTCTTATTTCGGTCATGCGTATTTTCCAATTTCCGCTTAGTACAGACCCAGACCTAGTCTTGTGCAAGTGAGCTAGCGGGACCCCTGAATCCTTACATCGCTTTTCAAAGGTTTAGGATTTGGGGGATTTGGGTTTATGAGCTACAGTCGCCCCTGATAGAGTCCAAATAATAGTACTTGGGACCCACAACCCCATTGTTCAGGTGCTTGGACCCTCCAGGTTAGGTCCTGAGGTCCCGTTTGAAGAGGGCAGGGTGTATCATTCCAGGTTTATGAGCTAAGGGAGACCCTTACTTGGAGGTTAAAGGCCACCTGTGACCCGATGATGGAGATTCAAACGGAAGAGAAAGTGGAAAGTTAGATGGAAACTGGGAAATATGGAGCCATGGAGGGATTAGGGGTTTGATAAATATGGCCCAGATATAGTGACTGTACTTATAAACCACGTGTAAATCCCCTGAATTCCTGAAGGTCATATTTGGGCTATGGGTGCCAGAATTACTTGGGTCATAATTGCCTCGGATCTCCAAGCAAGTCCCTTTTAAAGAGTGTATATAGGGATGAAGAGGAAATTCAGGAGGACCCCAGGACCCCTCGAAGAGAATAGAGGGACATTTGCGTATTCGGTTTTTAAGGTTGGGGGTTTGGAGCTAGTACTTGAACCCCCCACATACCCAATTGGGGTTCAAGGCTGTTACGACAGGCACTTGAAAGGCCTAGCTAAGGATGTCCTAGAACATGCCTCTCGCCGTTGCACATTGCAAACCCCCCAAAAAGATTGCTTTGTTGGAGAAGGCTCCAGATCAAAAAAGGGGGGGTCACTCAAGGCCCCTTGAAAGGCTTCAAAAAGACATCTAGAATTTGAAGATTAGGGTGTTTGGGTTTAACTTGGTAGGTGGTTGAAAGTATGATGTCAACAAGAAGCTAATCCAATACTTGCCGGCACGCGTTCTTGCTAGAGCACAGGGCAAGGAAGAGCACAACGCAGAGCGTTGCTTACAGGTCACGCGATGCTCTCCGCTAGAACAAGGTGTCTCACATTTGCTACGTATCATTAGAGAAAAGCACCCTGACGCATTGGACAATTAGCATACATAGTTCTCCCACTTTGTATGCGGCATTTGCAATCAAATCTTTCCTTGAGTAATGTGCGCAGCCCATGAAGGCGTGCTCCTTGGCATCAGTCTTGCCAACATGTCAAAAGTATGGTCAACAGTCCCATCTCTACGATTTGCGGTCGTAGGGTTTAGGGTCAGAGGTCTGGTAGGTCGAAGGGTGGTTTAGGGTTCAAGGTTTTGGCTTTAAGGTCGTGGGGTTTGGGGATTGGGTTAAGGGTCTCATAGGGGTGGTCAAGGGTTTTGGATTTAGGGTTGCAAGGTGTAGGTCTAGGGTGTAGGCTTGCTAGGGCTTAGCGCTTAGGGGATCGCAGGGTTTAGGATTTGGGCTGCAGGTCTGGTAGGGGAGTTTCTTGGGGCTTAGGGTTTAGGATTTAGGGCTTATTGTGTAGGGTTTGGGCTTGAGGTCTGTCAGGGCAAAGGGTAGTTTAGGGCTTAAGGGGCAGTAGGGTTTTGGGTTTGGCTTAAAGGTCTGGAAATAGAGGGGTGGTTTCAGGTTTAGGATTTAGGGTCGCAGGGTTTAGGGTGGGAGGGTTTGGGGTTGGGGTTGAAGGTCTAGTAGGGCCAAGCGTTGTGTAGTTAGAAGATTTTAGGGGGTCGTGGGGCCAAATATTTGGGTTAAAGCTCTGCAGAGGGCAAGCGTGGTTTAGGGTTTACCCGTTAAGGTCATAGGGCTCTGGGGTTTGAGTCAAAGGTCTAGTAGGGGGCGGTTAAGGGCTTAGGGCGTTGTAGGGTTTAGGGTTTGGGCTAAAAGTCTGGTACGGCCAAGGGTAGCTTAGGGTTTAGGGGGTCGTAGGGTTTAGGGTTTGGGTCAAGGGTCTGGTAGGGGGTGGTTAAGTCGTTAGGGGGTCGTAGGGTTCAGGGCTCGGGTTAAAGGTCTGGAACGGCCAAGGATAATTAAGGGTGTTGGGTGTCGTTTAGGGTCGAGGGTTTGGGCTCAAGGTGTGGTAGGGCCAAGCGTGGTTTAGGGCTTAAGGGGTCGTAGGGTTTAGGGTTTGCGTTAAAGGTCTGGTAAGGAGGGTGGTTTAAAGTGTAAGGTTTAGGATTTAGGGTCGTAGGGGTTAGGGTTTGGGATAAGGGTCTGGTAAGGCCAAACGTGGTTTCGGAATTAGGGAGCCGTAAGGTTTGGGTTTGGGGTGGTTAAGTTTAGGGTTTAGGATTTAGGGTTGTGTAGTTTGAGGTTGGGGCTCACGCTGGTAGGGCCAAGCGTGATTTAGGGCTTGTTGGCTCGTAGGGTTTGGGTTAAAAGCCCGGGGGCCGGGTGTGGTTTGGGGCTTTGGTTAGGGTTGAGGGTTTGGGGTGCTGGTAGGGGTGGGGGTTTAGGATTTGGGGTTTAGGATTTCGGGTCGTAAGGCTTAAGGTTTTTGTTAACAAAGGCCTGGTAGGGCCAAGCAAGGTTTCAGGGTTGTAGGCAAAGGGGTTTAGAGTTTGGGCTAAAGCAGGGTTTAGGGTTTAGCATTTAGGGCCATAGGGCTCAGGGTTTGGGTCGGGCCAAGCGTGGTTTCGGGTTTAGGGGGTCGTAAGGTATGAGGTTTGCGTGAAAGGTCTGGTAGGGGGGGATTTAGGATTTAGGGCTTAGGATCTGGGCTACAGGTCAGGGTTTAAAGCTTTTTTTGGCGGACCTTTTCTCCAAAATAGATCCCTGCCTATGCCTTAAACGACAGCCTTCCAACTGCAAATGGAACATCAACTTGCCTAGACTAGTCCGCTGAGCCATCAAGACCACAATGATCAAGTATTCTTCATGACCTACAGCAACCAATGAGACTAGCTTGTTTGCAGATTCCCCTCCAATAGAATGTCGCAGGAGCCGGTCCGGCGCTCACCATGCCTTCTCCCTCAAACTGGCACCCTGGCCCTGCCTGCACGATTGCTTCACTCCCCACTTGACCCCGCACTTGGCCAGCTGCACTCTATGCACCTTCAAGTAGAGCAGCTGCGCTATGTCCCGGTCTCTCCATTGCCATTCTGCGCGCAGGTTCTACACTCTCCCCTTCATGAGCAAGATCTTCCCTCAACCAACAGCTTCTTCCTCGAGACCGGGCTGCAGCATCCTCGCAGCATCTCTCATCACATAGTGTCTTCCAAGGACACCGTACCCGAAGCGAGCTCCAAAAAGGCGGTCAGTAACTCTAGCATTCTGAGAGTCATTATAGAACCTCTGTCTCAGTAGAGTTTCCACAAAGTGGTCCACTGAGAACGTCGTCTCTCCAGTCAGGTCTTTCCTAGGCCACACATCGATGGCACTGCGCCCGTGACTGGCAGCATGTCTTCAGGTTGGCCCCCGGCACCTGCTCTGCTTCCAGCGCACTCTCCGGATGGGTCGTTGTCCACTCCAGCGGAGTTGCCGAAGACGATGAGCTACCTCGTCCTCCAAATCCGCCGCCTGGTGCACTGCTACGTTGCAGGACAAAAGCTCAGCCGGTTTGAGCGCCAGTACCCCATTTTTGCTCTTGATCTTCCTGCCTCCTTCGCCTTGAATAAGGCCATGTACTCGAGCTCGTTTGACATCCCTACCCCTCACATCCGCAACCCTGGCGGCCCACATTTCCCATTCCCTGAACTCCGTGGCTTGGAAGGCGTTCCAGAACTGTCCTTGCTCCAACTGCAATGCCTTCGGTGCTTCCTCCTCGGCCATTTCGTTGAACTGCAGCTCCTCAAGCTTTTGCAGCGTCAACACTCTGGCTGTTCCATATTTTCATCTCTCACTATCTGCTTTTACTTCCAGCTGGTCGGGCTTCTTCTTGACTCTTGACCGTGTTCACAACAACGACCACCGGCTTCGCTTGGCTCAGCCTGCTCGGTACCCTCAGTCTCGGTTATCTTGTCTTCTTGTTCTCCTTCTCTCTCGAGAAACGGAGCGACCCTGGACCACATCGTGCGACACCATTCTCGCTCGTCTTCTGTTACTGAGCCTGGCTCACCTTGGAACTTGGAGCACTGAGATAAGTGCAGCCAGTCGTAGTTGCCTTTCCACTATGCTGGGGCGCCTGATACCCGGCGAGGGCGATAATCATGCGCTAGCTGCCGAAGATATTCTGAAACCCTGGCCGCGTTGGATTCAGGTATCAATTCCACGCTTTGCAGGGCGCGGCGCAGCAAAGCTTCGTAGCTGCCTCTGCCCACTTCTCTCTCTTGCCCCTTCCCTGATGTCTTTCTTCCTTTGCTGTTTTTCCAACAGGTCAACACTCTTTGCCACCCGTCTTCCCAGGACCTCCGTTTCTTCCACACCCGCCGCTTCTTCATCGTCTATACCTTCTCGACCTGCACCCAGGTTTACTTCCTTGTTGTCTTTGGCGCTGTCCTGACAGTCTTCCTCCATCACTCTGGTTGCGTGGAACAGTTCAAGGACATCATTTCCCCACTTCTTCACCCCCATGCGTCGTCCATCCCCTCGGATCCACCTACGACACCACCCCCAAACTTGTTCTGTTTGGTGTACCCATAGGTTCTGCTGGGGCCGCTAATTATTTGCTCATCTTTGAGGCGAACTGTAGGCGGCGTTGCAGGACCCATATCATCGTCCCGTTCTGCATTCACAATCATGTTCTGCTCGGCGGCAAGCGTGATCATCGCCTGCTCAGTCATCTTTCCGGCCTCCGCTACCACCTAGGACCATCGTGACTTTAGCTCGCTTCCTGGCGAGCGCAGAGCTGGACCTCATTTCGCTAAACATTGCCCAGTCTTCCCACGACTGTGCCTTCGCGGCTTCATAATCGGCAAAGCCTCATGTCTTGCGTCCGTCCTTCCTCTTCCATGTCCTTGTCACGCCTTGCAAACTCTTCGAGCCTTCAGCCTTCGTTGATTTTCCCATTTTCCTTCTGAATGACTCCTCACCAGGGTACCCCCATTCTCATCTTCGCTGTCAGCCCCTCCGTTGCAGCCACTTCACTTGAGCCGCATGCTCTGCTTGCGGCGCACGAGGTTCTTAGCGTCTGGAGGTCGTACGGTCTAGGGTTTGGGTTAAAGGTCTGGTAGGGCCAAGCGTGGTTTTAGGGTTTAGGGGGTCGAAAGGTCTGGTAGCAGGGTGGTTTAGGGCGGTTTAGGGTTCGAGGTTGAGGCTTAGGGTTTGGGGCTGGTAGGGCCAAGCCTGGCCTAGGAGCCGCAGGTTTTCGGGATTGGGTTAAAGGGCTGGCAGGAGGGTGGCCGTAGGGTCTGGTGCTTGAGGGCTGCTAGGAGGGCGTTTAGGGTTTAGGGTTGAAGGTTTCGGACTTAGGGTCGTAGGGCTTGGGTTAAAGGTCTTGTAGGGCCAAGAGTCTAGGGTTTAGGGGGTCGTAGGGGTTAGGGTTTGGGTTCAGTCTTGTAGAGGGTGGTTTTAGGCTTTAGGATTTAGGGTCGTAGGGCCCAGGCTTGGGCTAAAGGTCTTGTAGGGCCAAGCGCGGTTTAGGGCTTAGGGGGTCGTAGGATTTCTGGCAGGGCCAGGCCTGGCTTAGGAGCCGTAGGGTTTAGGGATTGGGTTAAGGGTCTCGCAGGAAAGTGGTCGCAAGGTTCAGGGTTTGGGTTAAAGGTCTGGGTCATAATGCTTGAGGGTGGTTTCGGGTTTAGGATTGAGGGTCGTAGGGTTTTGGGCTTGGGCTAAAGGTCTGGTAGGGCCAAGCGCGTCGAAGGGTTGAGAGTTTTGGCTAAGGGTCTGGTAGGAGGGTGGTTTAGGGTTTATGATTCAGGGTCACAGGGTTATATGGTTTGAGTTAGAGGTGCGGTAGGGTCAAGCGTGGTTTAGGGCTTAGGGGGTCGTAGGGTTAAGGGCTTGGGATGGAAAACAAGTCTGGTAGGAGAATGTTTTTGCAGGCGACTTTTTTCCAACGGCGCACAGTCAGAAAGCTACACCAGCCAGGTCGATGCAAGCCCCGATTCGCCTGAACAGCCCTTTCAAAATGCACTTCTTCCCAGACGCCAGCCCAAAAACGCCACAACTGCACACAGGCATCAAAAGGTACGGGGATCGGAGGGAACACTGCGGCCATTGCCTTACCCACAGCAGAAATCAACTAGTCCTGCTCCTTTCGAGGGACAATCCGGCGCTTTATAGTGACCCTACACTGCGAACGGTTCTAGCCTCAAAAGTCTCAGAAGTGGTCGTTGTAGGAAGCAAGTCGTGGATCGATGTAGTCCTCTGTTCAATCACCACGCTCATCCCAGGCAGTTCGCCATTCGCTGCGGGCCCCACAGCATCCACTTCAGAAGCATGGTTCAGTTCCGTCACCTGCCCAGCCACGCCTATAGCACTGGCGCCCTCTTGGTCGTCCACCGTGCTCCCACTACTGCATGTTCAGGCCCACTCTCCCCCTCCGACTTCCCATCGTCCTGCGCGCTTCCGCCACCCCTTCCTTTTGGTGGCACCCAGATCATTGTCCACCATTTTCCAAACCTGCTCCTTGTCCACCACCCTCCACGTCGCCCTCCTCTTCCTCCATGTACAGGAGCGTCTGCGTAGTTGCCCTCACCCTCCGCAAACTTGTTCCATCGTTCCACGGTGTGACCGCAGGATGCTAAATCCTCATGGCCGCGGGCGCACCTAGGACAGGTGCTCGGCCAGGCGCACCCCTTCCTGGGCAGAGGCGCGAATAGCCGGATCTTTGGGCTTGCACGAGTCTGTAATTGGCGCTAACTTACCATGCTGAGCCTCCAGAAGCAACTGCGGCCAACCGCATTTCTCTAGCTGACTCTGAGTGGCGGCAGTGACCCGCCGCATTCAGGAAAGCCACGCAGGTGGGCTAAGTCCACGGGCAAACTCCGGCTCTGGCCTGTTCAACGACCGAGCAATGCGGCCAGCCCTAGCAAGCGCTCACCTATGATGATGCATAGCAACCAGTCACGAAGAACCTGCAAACCATCATGGCCTAATCGACATGCTGCACATCACGAGGAATGATCACGCCTCCATCCTGAGACACGCCAAGCTTCTTGCCGAAGGGGTCAATCGTGGGGACGCGTGTCTCGTCACCCTCTTCGTCCTGGAAGCGCTGCAGCAGCGAGCGTTCATCTCTTTCCTTTGTCTTCAGCCACACGCACACCCACCGCCACTGCCTCGGCCTCGCTTCGGATTCGGGGCGTGCAACACGGGTTGGCGAAAGGCAGGCGAAACCTATGGGTTGTTGCGGTGGTTCGGACGCGGGAAGCAGGGGCGAAGGCTTAAAAGCGTAACAGGCTCAACCCCGACATCGGGCTTCTAAACCCTAAGGCCCGGTGCGCCGGTTGCAGCACCCTAGACCCCAGGGCGCTGCAAAAGGGAAGGAGTTGTTGCGGCGACGCGGCACGGAAGCCGGCACAAAAGGAAAGCCTGTGCCTTGACCTCTGTGTTGTTTGCAGGCGGTTGCTGGCGCTAAGACCTTTGCGAGCAGACACGAAGGCAGGAATGAAGCAGCGGCGGGAACCTCTAACCCTAAAACCTAGGCACCCTTGCTGGTGCGCCTGGGGCAGCACCCTCGGCGCTGCTGGAAATAAGGTTAAACCCTAACGCCAAGAGGAACTCATTCTGCACGAGCTGCCGCGCGACCGGCAAGTTTGCGCGGTTACGCGCTTCAATCACCTGCTGGATGTTATCAAGGTCGTCCAGTAGGCCCTGCTCTCCTGCACTGGCATCTGCACGAAAAACAATGCAGCCAGCACGTCAGATGACCCCGTTGTCGTCGAGGAGTATGCCCGCCCCGGCTTGGTGAAGGAACGACACCTTGCCCTCGGGGCCAGTTCTCTGCTCGGTCTGCAGCAGCCAGAAGTCTGCTGGAGCAGCCTGGAGGGCCACTATTTGATCGCGCGCTGGGCGCAGGCACTCGCGTAAGTTCCTATCCTGACTGGTGTCAGTGTACGAGCAGATAGGACGCAGCTCGAACAAGAACCTATGCCACCTGTCTTTGGGGAGCCCTATAAATCTGCGGCGGCGGCCTTGGGGCCGGCGTGCCAAAGTGCTGGGGATTGTTTCGCCTTGCCCAGCGCGCACGCTGGTTTAGGTTGCAAAGCGGTCTGACACGTCTTCCCGCAATCCTTGCCAATGATTGCTACCAGGGCACCGTGGAGGCTTCGGGAAGATCGCAGGGGTCAGATCGCTGCTTCCTGCTGGTCGTCTGCCAGTGCGCTTGCAGCTGCACGGAGAGGCTCTGGTTGAAAAAAAAAGAGAGAACCTATCTTACAGTGGGGTATACACCCGAGGTACGCTTAAGGACTAAGGGGGTCCTACTGGAGAGGGGGCCCCCCTTCAGGCGACAAGGTTGATAGATCCTTGCGAGTGTGCACCTGGGACCTCTAGCGCTGGTTGATCAGCGTCTTGGTCCGCCTCCTGTTCTGGCTCGGCTTCCGCTTCAGCTGCTTCCGGCGCCTCCATCCAGGGGTGGCAAGCGCTGAAGAAAGGCTGTGTTGTAGCCAGCAAATACGGGGCCGTCCGGGGGGGGTGAGGCATCAAAAAAAACTTTATAAGCATCAAAAAAACATACGCCCAGCGCATCAAAAAAAAAACTTTTTAAGCATCAAAAAAACTTTTGTACTAAATTTAGTAGGG